ATCTTTGATCTCAGAATTTGACGGTTTTTAGTGTTGATTTTTCTAATTTTGCAGCTCAACGCAAAACTCAATAAATAAAATATCAGGTTGGAAGGTAAGTCCTGTCGCCGAGATTTTGGAAGGCTGACTAAAATCGTAGTTAGCTTCATTCTGCACATGCGATATGTCATTTCACGGCTCGTCAGGCCTTACCAAAAACGCACTTCTGGGGGGTGCGGGCCCTCTCCCCGCGGATAGTGGGTTAACCTCCCAGGCGAGCCCCCCACCCCCCCGGGTTCGGTTCCTCTGCGGCGCAAACTCCCCCATTTTGGCGATCTTTGTTTTGCTTTTTGCTCCAATGTATCACCGATCGACTACTGTAACACAAAATCAAATAATACTCGCGAAAAAGTCCCAGAAAATAGTAAAAAGCGGCTAGAACCCGTTTTAGCAAAGTGTATCCAAAAACAGTCGCAATTTCGCTCCATAACCAGCTTTCAGGGCTGCTATTACAATTTTTTTGGCTTAGTAACGATAATAAGCGCTTTTCTGCGTTTCTGTTAGCAAAATGGGTTACAGATCACGAAGCTCCTGCTCCAAGCCTCCAATTGCCCGACTATCTTAGCTATTTTCTTAAGAGGAGGTTCATAATTCAGCAGTTTTTCGATTAATACTACATTAAATTGATATAGTTACCTAAAAAACCGCCATACAAGGCTCAAATCCTTCCGGGTGGGGTGCTAGCATCGAAATATTAGGATCGCCATCGTACAAGGGTTTATCTTTTCCAGAACTTCCGTTATTAACTCAAATGCATGTTTCGTGATTCCACCAAACCTTTTAGCGAGATTTAAACGTATTTTGATAACAACAGGCTGAAAAACTAGCCATAAACCAGCTGGGTCCAAAATTTCGGGAACTTTAGGCTTTAAAATCTCCTTATTTTGGTGAGAACTTTCATTGCGACCCACACAGTTCGATAGAGAATTTTTGGTACTAGGATGGTTGGGGGGGGGGCCACTTTTTTTTGTCGGTTTCGGATCAGTTTTTTGTGCTGAGTTCGAATTTCACAAAATCAGGTTCGAATAACGCCGTTTTCCACCGTAAAACGGCGGTATCAGCCGCGATATCCACTTTCCTAAAATACAAGCGGAGCCATTGATGTTGGGGGGCATCTTTTTTTTGGGGTTTTTTTCCGACCTAAGCTTTTCTCCAAGCCTAAGCTAACCAAGCCAAGCCCAGCCTAAGCATAACCTAAGCCAAGCCTAGGCTTAAGCCCAATCCTAAGCTAAGTCTAGAACAAGCCTGAGCTAGGGCTAGGCCAAGCCTAAGCTAGGCCTAGACTAAGCCTATACTATACTATTTCTATGGCGCCAGGAATTTTCCACCGACCCTTTCTACCATTTCTGGGAACAAGTCCACGATCACTACCCTTGCGAATGATAAGCTAGCGCGACCACACTTGCTACTAGTCTATTATCTTGTTATATCCTTGTTGTTGCGATAAACCCTTGTTAAACAGGTTAAGGCTTTTTACGGTGGAAAAAGGCGTTATTCGAGCCTGATTTTGTGAAATTCGAACTCAGCACAAAAACTGATCTGAAACCGACAAAAAAAAGTGGCCCCCCCCCCCAACCATCCTTGTACCGAATTTTTTTCTCTATCAAGTTCCCACGCCTCCCGAAGATTCGAAATCATACACAAAAAGTTATTAGAAGAAAACGTAGATTTTCTGATTTTTTAATATGGGCGGCACCGCCCCACAGAGCCCGGAGGGCAATAGGCGCGCCCCGTACTAAAGTGCCCTTTGGCGAGCCGTGATTTTGTAGCTCTCTTCCTGAACCGTTTCGGGAGGAGGGCCTTAACCCGCCAAAATCCAGGAGGACCGAGATACGGGCATAAGAAGTTTTTGTATTTTCGCTGGATTTGAACGGCAGGTGCCGAAAATTGCCGCTTTATTTTGGATGCGCCGAACGGATTTTGACCAAATGTATTGGATTTCGAGAAAAGTTCTAAGAAATGGTCCAAATTTCAAAGGTCCATATCTCGGCCGTCCAGTGACCGATTTTGATGATCTCAACATCTATCGATATCTACTCCTCGAGTGCTATCGATTGGCGTTAAAGGTATCGTATGCAAATCCCTCTATGCAGAGATAACTTGCAAAAACACTTTCGCGCAATTTTTAAAAAAACTTCTTGGGCCCGTATCTCGGTCCTCTTGGATTTTGGCGGGCTAGGGCCCTCCTCCCGAAACGGTTCAGGCAGAGAGCTACAAAATGACATATCGCATGTGCAGAATGGAGCTAACTACGATTTTAGTCAGCCTTCCAAAATCTCGGCGACAGGACTTACCTTCCAACCTGATAGTTTGTTCGTCGATACTCAACCCACCAGTATTTTGGCTCAATCTCAACTAAATTTGGGTTGTGTCAAAAACGAACGATCTAGAAAAATGTATTTCTCAAAAATTAAAATTTGCTGAACATTTTGATTCGAGAATCACTTCCGTTTTTGATTCGGTTTTATATTACGGCATTAGCTGCGAGACACGAACAATAAAATTAGTTTATTTACCGGTATCCAAGGCTGTTTGGCTCGAAGATGAACTAAAAATTTATGTGCACTTAAAATATTTTTGTTTAGCAAAAGCGTGTTTCATAAAAAAGTAAAATTTTAAGAATTTAGAAGTAAAGAATTTATTGTAGGTTTCTATTGTTTTGAATCGCGATAAATAAAATTCGTTTATTTGTCGATAATAAAATCTGCACGCGTTTCATTCACTTGGCATCTGAGTAGTGGTGGTGGGGTGTTTTTAGGGGGCGGGTGTTAATGTGTACACAACAATACGCAATTACGGGCGTGAAAATCGAGGAAAACAAATAATCAAAAATCGTAAAATGAATAAACTCAAATGGACCGCGAGGGAGGGGAAGAATCGATAAGTCAGGATTTTCACGGGACGTTAAAAAGGAAAAAATGGGAAAAACCAGGTTCACACGTACTGCAGAAATTCTGAAATTTTCTGGGAATTTAGCCGGGGTATAGAGGCGTATTTTAAACGGCCTGGAAGTCGGGTTTCCTTATATATTTTGGTGCCAATTCGAAAAAATAAAAAATAAAAATATCGTTTTCGAAAATATTGAAGATGCTTATTAAGCGGTAGACAATTGAGTGAAAAAGATTAAATTGAATTTTATTGTTTTGGTAAAAAAACCTTAATTCTCCGTTGGTAAAAATTCAGAATTTTCAGGAATTTGTGTTTCATAAAAACAATAGTTTGCAAAAAGTATCTAAGGCCTAATCCGAGGAACCAACTTTGGCGAAATAAAACGATCAAATTCGATTTTTTTAGTAGCTTACTGTTAAGGGATTAAATTTTGGTACAAATTCGCCAGCGATAAAATGTTAGCTTATCCAAATTTTAGAAGTTAAAAATCGATGTTTCGTAAAAAACTCGTTTTGAAATTACGTGAGTCTCTTGGATTTTGGTCCATCATGATCTCCAAAAATTAATAAAAGGCATAATTTTGGCTATCGTCACGCCAACTCACTAATTTTCTTAATTGCGGCGAGATACGGTTTTCTACGAGATTATGGCATCGATGCGCAATTATACGCTAAAAAAGTCCGAAACACAAATTTTCCCAAAAAGATGTTTTTCATTATACGGTTATCGTAACTAGAATTAATCGGCTACTATTTGCCTTAAACTTTGGATAATAACGTTCGGTATTCATTTCATTAAGTTTCTCGTTTAAATTCAAAGTTAATATTTATTAACTCGATTTAATAAATACCTTTCAGACTTCCAGGTCCCTTTAAAACACCCAAAAGATTGATAAGTAGTGTACGCGCCGTGCTACAGAATGGAATCTCTAAAATCAAGGAATGGGGGTACTGGAATTCGCATCGGGCTTTTTCGGGCTCGTCTCGGCAATTATAATTAATTAAGATGTTGGCGGGCTAACAGATAGTACACTCGAAATTAAAGAAGTAGTAGTAGAAGACCCCCGGGCTATTTACAGCATAAAAATACACAATAATCAAAAATATAAAACAAAAATAATGGCAGAAAATGGTGGGCAAACGGGGAGTGAACAACACCGGATGACGGTATTTAATCAAAACAAATTAAAAACATCGAAAAAAATAAATGAGGCAGTTGGCAATGGGGGCTGCTAGCCTAGAAAAATGAAACATACAGGTTTTTGAAGGATTTTCGATACCTTGAAACAGCACAGAGTTTGCGAAAATGTTTTTTATTCGACCTACAACAAAAATATTTATTTAAAGCCGATAATCATCTCACTATTTTGTCGCAATATCACTTTTAAGTAAGATTTTAAAAAGCGTGCATTCGGATGGAAAATGTGTTTTATGAAAAGCCGAGCATAAAAATGATCTGTGGTCCTGAATTTTATTCATTATTCAATTAATAAAATCTCAAAGCTTTTTTTACTCATTTGCCTAGTTAAATTTAGTTTAAAAAAGGCAGTTTTTCCTGACATACCGTAGTGAAAAACATCAATTTAACCTTGAAGAAAGTTTACCAAATGGGAAAAGAATGTTTTATATACGGTTGGTAACCAGATATTTGATTAGAACTTTAGTCTTGGGTATTTTCGTGTCGCCAATCCAGTCTTACTAAAATTTAATTAATTAATCGAATTTAAAACGAAAAAATCAAATTTCCATGCCAAATACCATTCCGGCTGCATTAACGGCTTCAAAAACCGGCCCCTCATCTAACCCAATAAAACACATTTTTTCACCTCGAAATTCCTCCAAAAACTCGTAATAATTCTCTGATTACCATAAATACATTAACATTTCTAAGGGCATTAAAGGTATCTGGGATTACTAATAGCGGTCCCATAAATTTGGCACAACAATTTTGACCACATTGAGAAGTGGGAGGGGAGTGTTTTCTTCGATCACAGATGGCAATTTTCACGGTAAAGTATAATATGATAAACTGGCGAACGTAAATCCTGCCGACAATTCCGCGCAAATCCTCTAGACGACAGACTCGGGCCGCGAGGCCAGCTGCTCTTCCTTGTGGTTGGCTTCTTCGGCTTCGAGGGCCTGCAAAAAAGCGCTATATTTTAGCGTTGTTGTATGGTCAAATCTATAATTCAAATTAGTTAATAAGTTATGCAATAAATTAAATATGGTTATGTAATAAAAATTAATTTAATTGAACGTATAAATGCTTGCCTATCTTGCTTGTATAGATTCTTCTTTGAAACAACTTAATCATGCCAACCAAAGCATAAAAGAGAAGTATTTTTGGAATCTTTGAATTTGAAATGCTATGTTGAAAAAAATGTGGGTTATATTAGAGGGGGAAGCTATATTTGGGAAAAGACGGTAATTGAACATAATAAGTGAGTTCATAAGTATCGAAGAAAATTGTTGCGAGAACCAAAATTAGTTTTAGTAGTTTAATTTTAGAAAGATTTCGAAACATTCTTTTTCCAGCGTATCCGTCGGTATATTGGACCTATTATGAGTTTGGCTAGGCGCTTAGATATAATTTTATACTAGGTTTTAGACAATTAGTCTATGTTCTGGACTGGCATAAGGGATAAATTCAAATGGCAAAATCGACTAGACAAGCTCTAAAAAGTAACGAGCAGAAAACCCAGATTCCACAAAAATTAAACGGTATTAAAAGTTTAAACCGTCGTCTTTTCGAAAAATATGTTCCGGCAATTATATTGGACAAGTAGAGCGCTGCTGGCCTAACGAAGGCCCGTGCACGATCCTACTCTTTGCTCCTCTCGATTCAGCTCGTCATTCTGGTCCTGATGTCGCTTGGCCAGTTGCTCTTCGTGGCGTTGGGCCCTGGAAAATCGAGACGTTTTTAATTAATGAAACCAAATTCGATTGAATATCATCAAAATTTTTTCAGGAATTTTCGAAGATGATAATACTTTTCAGAATCAGATTTGCTCTTGTTTAACCACCAAAACATATATTTTTTTTTGCTTCCATTTGTACGCCGTTTATCGAAATTTCAAGTGCCACGTAAATTGTGTGGTAGAATCTGTATTTTAATCGATAATCTTAAGTAAAACGTGGCTACAAAATTGCTGAAAATTTCTATGGTTTGACCAAGAATTAATCGAAGTCTCTCTTTCCAAACCAATGGTAAAGCTAAAACATAGAATCTCCTCAGGTTAGCCCCCAAATCCATGATTTCACATTTCAAAAGCTTTTTCATCGGCAATGCAATTGATTAGTTGAAACGAAATAGAGATTAATTGCTAAAAATTAGAGATTTCACCTCAAATCCGTGAGAAAAAACAATGTTTCTAAAAAACAGCAACGGCAATGTTTTCAACAACCCCCCAATCAAGCAAGAGCCGAAAAGGTTATATTGGGTCTCTAAGCTAGAGTAAAAAATAGAAAGCTAAAAATAGCACGGGTATATTCTTTCTGAATTTTAAAGAGAATTAAACTTCTTATTGAATTAACTCCATCAAACTTACTTGATTGTCAGCCGCTTCCGCTCTTCGATGAACAGCTTCACGTTCTTCTCGTTCAGCTCCTTGACGCGTCGATCTCGCTCGGCCTTCGTTTTGATGCCTTTGTCCTAGATAAATAGTATAATTTAAGTATAGACAGATATAATCCAACTCCTTCTCGATACGATTCCATTATTTAAAGCTCAGAGAAACATAAAAACTATGAAACCTTGATTTGTAACCGAAATTTTTTGTTGGATAAAATTTCATGTTTCATCGCTTAAATATAAGCCGAATGCTTATGCAAACAGCATTATGTTGAGCAGGCAACTTAAAATTAAAAAAGTAAAAAAGTAAATTAAAAAAATTATTTGTATATTCAGCAGGGGACTTCGAAAGGTCCGTTTTTCGAAAGATGTCTAGAAAAAGGATGTTTCAAAAGTTTTGGAATTTCCCTTTCGACTTGTATTTTCTATCTTTCTACCGGTGATATCTTGTCTAAAATGTAATTTAAGGAATTAGAAAATCGTCTCTTGTTTCTTATAAAATACCTAGGGCTTTTCTACAAATTTCGACGTTTTCTACATACTTCACAAATTTTCTAAAAAATCACATTTTTTCGTAAAGAATCCATATTATTATTTTGATAGTGAAACTGAATACTATATGCTTTACAAATTAATTCTGTAATGCATTTTTTTTCTGTAATTTTATGGTATAAGCATTAACGTACCATCTGCAGGGCCTTGATGTCTACCATGCTCTTCTTTGTCTGACAGTCTGTCATCTCTGTGCTCTCTGCTGCCAGCCGCTTCTTTAGACTGGCCATCTGCACTTCTTGCGCCTTCGACATTAGCTTTCTGAACAAAAAAAACATAATTTTTACGAGGTAAAATAAAAAATTACGTAGAAAAACCATAAATTTCACTCCCGAAATTAAAAAAAATGTTTGACGGAATTGTAGGTTTCGGTTTTATCCGCGAATACTAATCGTTGTCGTTGAGTTGTCAAAAAATGAGTCGTTGGAGTTTTTTACTACTCAGTTTCTTCTTATACTTTATATCCAAGTTACAGTAGTTTTAAAAGGTACAGTATTTCCTAAATTTTATATGGAACTAAAAATAAAAATTGTAGCATAAAAACCATAAACAATGATTGAACCTCGACATTTGGAACTGGAGATTTGAAGCTAGATACAAGAGACGCACTCATCAAAAAAATGTTTTAAGAAATTGTAGTTATCGGCTATACGGTCGAATTTTAATCGAATCAAACGAGATGTTAAATATATTGAGCTAAGATTAAAAACGACGTGACGAAGTGGCGTTTTACTACTGTAGCTATTCTGCACTTTTCAAAATTGGCCTAAAAATATTATTAAAAATGTCTTTATGAAATTGAATAGTCGATCTCAAATTTAAACCTAAAAGTAAGAATATAAATACTCATATCTACGACGCTCGCATAACCCTTATATTTATTCTAGTGGAAGCTAGCAAAAATATTTTTTTCCAAAAAAGAAATGCTTTGAATTTTCAGTTTCATGAATGACTCAAAACCGTTAGGAAAGCTTGTTTTCAAAAGTAGATTTATCTTTATCTTTCAAAAAAATTTTTAATTTATGCTTTTCAAAAACATGATTCTTAGAATTGTAGAGATGGCCCTAGATGAGGGATTTCAATGTAAGGGGTGAAATTGCAAACTTTTCTAACCATGCCAATTTTTATTTTTACGTTTACTTGGAGCGCTAAAAATTTCCCAGCGAATCTATGCTAACCTGCCTCCCGTAATCGCCAAAACGCTAGAAGATAAAGCTAGCTAGAAGCTAGAAAGAATTAAAGGGATGCCGACGGCATGTCGATCGGTTACGCGCTAGAAAGGAAATGTCTCTGCGCCTCTCCCCAGGGCGCGCTCTCTGCCCCGTTGGCTACTTTGTGCCTGGGAAAGCTTGTATTTTGCCCAAATTTGTTTTTTGAAAAATCCCATTGTAACGATTAATAAAAGAATCCAATTGCTGTTATTCATCAAAGTATAAAAACAGTACCTCAACAGATCGTACTGCTCCCTGATGTGGGCCTTGCGCATCTCGAACTCTTCCTGCTCGTGCTTTCGCATCAGCCCCGACCACTCGTCCGTTTGGTTTGACACCAGCGAGCGCATCTGGAAGGGTTTAATTAAATAAAATTATGACGAACATCGAATGGCACTGTAATATCATCACCACCACGACTTCACCTTACAACACATTATGAAACATGCCAAAAATAAATAAGTTTTTCATAAAAAGATGTTTTATTCGGGGGCTTGTGTATTCTTTATCTAGGAATAGCAATTATGACTCATCGGCAACCGAATCCCCGTCATTTAATAATAATATGATATAAAACTAATGTAATATTATATTCCATAAATAAAAATTTTAATGCTGAAAAAGGATAAAAGCAAGTTTTCGCTTGGTAAATTTAAACCCCAAATAATAAGGTCGGGTACCTGCCTTTTTAATATTAATTTCAACTTTTTAATTTTTTAATTTGAAATATACCTCTCCACATTATAACAATTTAGGATTTAAAAAATGCGGTGGTTAATAGGCTACCTACTAATTTTCTTCTTACCAGCATTAATCGATAATTCTAAGCAGACGTGAGAACCGAGGAAAATATGCATACGGCGAATTTTCATTGAGCGAAGCGTAGTAAAGCTTAGAAAGAGTTTTAGAGAAACATATTTTTTATCTAAAAAATTTTATCCTTTTTGGCTGATTTTTAAGGTACCAAAGTGCGTACTACGCTCGCACGCTAATAAACTGATGACTGCAACGTACGATGCCGTACAACACTCCATTAAAAACTGGATTTCGGGAAAAATCCCATGACACCGTGAAACATGCAACGAAAACACGAAAACGACAAAGACACCGGACAAGCATGCGATAACTAAACACGGAAAAGCATCCCTTTGAGATCCGTAGAAGGATCCGATTCTTGATTGTTTGGTTTATGATTTAGATATCAATCGACAGCATTCGAGCCGTGGGTCCCTCTCCGATTCCAGGAATTGCGTACTATCAGAATCTCGAAAAATATACTATCAAATTTGATTAGTCGAAAGTCACTTCACGAAATCTCATTCCGCCTAAATTTTCCTACATAGAAATGCCGATAGATCGCACACCCGATACCAACGGAATTTCAATTTAACGAAAACGTTCGTTAATCGTGCCAGCTAACGGGTCTAGCGAGCCGTTAGTGAAATCGTCTTTCCGTGTCGACATTCCAGACCGTCACGATTTTTTGGCTGTCGTGATTTCAGCCTCAGGTATTTTGATTTGTCGGTATCTTGATCTGGTGGGTTTTGGATGTCCTGATTTTAGCGTGTCGGGATTTGTCGAGGGCTTAGCTGTCGGCATTTTGACTGTCGGGATTCGGCATTTTGTCACCTAAGCCGTGAAAATAGGAAACTTCTACGGGCCATTTGAGGGGTGCTTTTTCGACACGCCAAAAAAACTATACTTTACAAGCCAACCATGCAGTAATCATGCACTACTATATCCCAGCAGAACCTTATGATTGCTGAGTGCCTCATTATGAGGTTGAGAGCCGGGCGGGGTGGTTGTGGCTGGGGTGGTCGGTGTGGCATGTCTCCCTCCAAGCCCGCCCTTCTTCTTCTGACTCCTCTGGTTGTCTCCCAACAATTTGTCGACGCACGTTTGCTGCAAAGAAGCCACACGGGGATTAGTCGCTTATTATTACAGTTATATTATGCTAATTTTTGCGAGGCTTAAACACGGTACTTTTGACAGAGATTTTGTGAATAGAAAAAAAAAGAAAGACTTGCTATATTTTTGATCCGTTTTACTTTTTGCAAATACCGTTGCATAACAACGATTAGTCGCTTATTACAATAGCAATATTGTGCCAATTTGAAGGCTTGGACACGGTACTTTTGACAGAGATTCTGTGGAGATTTTGATCCAGCAATACCCATTTTTATCCAGTATTACCTGGCTTGCAAAATTTGTTTAATTTTATTATAATGAAACAAACTTTTTTTGCCGGCATTCTACAGCCTGATATACTAACAAACTACTATTTTTATGGACTTACTAATTTGTTTTATATAATTCAATAGATTTGTTCGAATGTTTGAACTATTAATTTAAAATTATTCTTATCTAGAGGCTTAAAAACGGTAATTTGGACATGGATTTTGTGAATGGCAAAATGGTGTCGGTCATTATCTAGTTTATTGCGGTTTTAAGCATTGATCACAATGAAACACACTATTCATGGAATTACCTAATTTATAAAATTATTTTTCTATTATGCTAATTTTTGGAGGCTTGCAAACGGTAATTTGGAAATGGATTTTGTGGAGAGCAAGGACTAGCAAGCGCCGTCTGTTAACTGGCTCAAGATAATTTTCTAATCTAATTATGACGAAACAATTTTTTTGCCGGATTTTGATCAATTATCAAAATTTTTTTAAATGATGCTAGTTTTTGGAGACTTAAAAATGGTAGTTTTGAAATGGATTTTGTGCACAGCAAAACTTGGTGATATATTAGCAAGTCTATTGAGGTTTGAGGTATTCACTCATTGAAACACAATATTTTCAGGAAATTCACTTGCATTCACACAACGTTTCAGGAAATTTTCTAGCCTCATAAAATTATCTTCCTGTTATGCTAGCAAATTATATTAATTTTTAGATCCTTAAAAACGGCCGTTTGGACACGGATTTTCTGGACAGCACAAAACCTACAGTGTCCTGTATTACGTAGCTCAAACACAACTTTCGACATTTACTATGATGGAACATCTTTTTTTGCCGAATATCGTTCAAATAGCAAAATCCTTGCAAATGATGCTTGAGATTTGAATTGCTCTGTTTTAACTATTAATTTTAAATCCGGTTAGTTTTCGAGGCTTAAAAACGGTAATTTTAACACGGATTCTGTGGACAGCAAATATCACCTGATCCTGCAAATACTAGCTGGTTTTCCGGGCCCTAAGCAGTAATCACAGTGAAACAAACCAATCCTTTGGCCGCATTTTAAGCAAATATCAAAATTCTAGCAAGTTATGCGATTTTAGTAGAGTTGAAAACCGTAATTTTGGCGCAAATTTTGTGAAAAGCAAAAACCTACGTTGGTTAATTTATTCGATTTCAAAATTCAGGAGAGTAAGGGATTAAAATGCACCATTGTTCGGTAAGTTTTCACGTAATCAATCGTTATCTTGAAAGTTCGCATGGCCCAGGTCATACTTCTTGAGGATTTAAAATTTTAAGCGTAAGTTCGTGTAAGCAAAATCGTGCTATCGTGGCGTAAAAATGGGCGAAAATTCAGAATGAATTTTGCGAAGGGCAGAACAACGATACCGTGAATGTATTAGCCCCTTTATTTCGTTTTCAAGGGTTGACCACCGTGAAAAAAATCTTTTTCACCAAGACAAATTTTACGTATCCTCATTTTGTAATTTTTGATCCACTACAAATTCCTAGAAATTCCGATATGGTGTAAGGCCAAAGCAATGACACAGTTTGATTGGCGCTAAATAAACCCGTAAATTTCCCTAGCTTTTCGAAACATCTTTTTTTAATTGTCGCCTCAATTGAAACCAAAGCATTTATATGTAATTTGAAAAGGAGAGAAGCTGCAGGCATAAGTAGCTTATTTTATGTAAAGAAGTTAAAGAACATTCAAAAATTAACTTCGACAAGGTAAAATTGTATGTTTTTGCTCCATCAATCCCTCATTTTTAACAAATTTTTACAATGGCTTTCTCATCTATGTGCCGTATTTTGCCTGCTTCTCCCCTTTTTTGAAAATCCATGATTAAATCAGTTTTTAAGCGTGGTTTTAGAGCACATATAAAAAACCGGAAGAACGCGATGGGACAGTTTAGGGACACAGAAATACACTCACACATTTAATTCTAGTTAATATGCAGCCGCTCTAATATCGCATTTTTACTGGTAAAACTCGACGGTACAAAAGCGCAACTACACTACCGTATTCCCCGCGCGCACCTTGGCCCTTTCTTTTCGCTGAAATTTCAATTTGAAGTACGTCTACGGTCACTGGTCACTCCGCAATTTTTAATTTTCCAAGCTTTTTTGCAACATTTTCTTGAAAAAAGTTTTTATAGGAAATATATTTCGCAAAGTTAATTTTAGTTCAGACGTTTTTAGATTTTAGTTAAGCCTGGAAATGCTAAGGTATTTTGATATCGAAAAAGGTAAGACTTTACTTTAGCCCCCCACAACCGAAGGGTCTCAAAGTTTTCGGTATTTTCGCTTATTTTGTCGGGATTTTTGCAAGGCCATTCGATAGAGCGTCAAAAATATAAATAAGAATACGTAAAAACGTAAAAATAAGTTTCGCTGAAAACTCTAATTGTTGCGGAGGCAAGAAAGAAAGTCTTTGATCCAATTACGCGATGCCTGTACGGCGCACCCCTTTGCACTACGCCCTGTGTGCGCCCTCCCCGTCCCCCGGCACAAACCCCATTTTTGTGCGTGTCTTTTTCATTCTCTTCCACTTCGCCCGTCTTGTCTGGCTGCTTGTATTATTTTAGGCTATTGCCGTTATCGTAAATAAACTTTGTTCTCTCTTCTTTCGTCCAAATCAATTCAGGTGTCAAACGACTCTCTCGCAAGGTATCCCCTTGGATTGAGCCAGCACTCAAGAACTCACGCACAGCCACACCTACAACAATTGGCGATCAAGGATTCGAGCCCGAATTGAAGAATGGCCGACGACCCCGAGCTCAAGGACGTGCTGAAGCAGCTCGCCGCCGCGAACCAGCAGATGACCGCTGTCATGGTCGCTGGACAAGAGCGAGAAGCCAAGCTCATGGCTGAGCTCGAGCGGATCCGCGCCGAGGTCCAAACGCACACGGACTCGGTTAGCGAAGATTCAAGCCAAAGCCAAAGGCCTCTGAATGCAGTCGAGTTGGGCGCTCTAGCCACTCGCGTAAGTCGATTCGAGTATGACCCGTCCCAGGGGATTACGTTCGAAAAATGGCATGAGCGGTTCAAAAACCTCATCGCCACCGAATCGCGCATCTCGGAGGAGAACAAAAAGCATCTTGTTCTCGGGATGCTGGATGCCAAATCCTATGGCTTGCTAGCGGATCATGCTCGACCCACCGAGCTGTCTTCGATCGCATACGACGACATCGTCAAGCATTTGACTGAGATGTTTGGAGAAAAGCTGTCGCTTTTCAGTCGAAGATTCCTCGCCTTTCGCGTAGCGAAAGAGCACGACGAGGATATGCGATCCTACGCCGCTCGCGTCAACAAACTCTACGAGCAGGGTCGCGTCAAGGAAATGAAGGAAGATGAAGAAAAGTGTTTACTTTTCGTTGCTGGACTGTCTGACCAGGCACATCGCGACATCCGCAAGAAATTGATCCGTATTCTTGAGTCAAAGAATGACGTGAAACTGGATGATCTGCTGCGCGAGTGTGACTTGCAGACGAGCCTGAACATGGATGTTGTGGTCGAACAGCATGCCAATGTGAATCGTATCCAGCAGTCGGGATACCGAAAGACTTGGAACAAGGGCCCAAAGCCTACCTCTAGCAATGGTGGCTCAAAGCCTTGTGATACCAATGATCGGCCCCGTGGAGACAAGCGAAATGATGTGTGTCATCATTGTGGAAAGCGAGGACACTGGGCAAAAGAGTGTCGCTCAGATTCTGGAAACCGTGGAGGTAGTTTTTCCAAGCAAGGAAAACAAAACCACCGAAACAAGGACTGGAAACCGAAGGTGAACCAGATTGTGCAAATCAATGCTATTGATTCAACACGCAAGGACGTTGAAATCTCAATCGGAAACATTCATTTTACACTGCAATTGGATACTGGCGCTGCAGTAACTATTATTGACGAGGCTGTGTGGCATCAATTGAATTGCCCACCACTTACGCCGTCGGATATTCAACTACGAGCTGCCAACGGTAGTCGAATTGACGTGAAAGGATTGTTTGAAACCCGCTTTCAAGTGAAAGGCATTGAGGGACATGGCCGTTGCTTTGTCACCAAAGACATTCGGTTGATGGGGCTTGATTGGATCAATCAGCTGCCACAATTCGCATCCTGTTTCGATGAATTGTGTGTCAATCAGGTTCAAGTGAAGCAATCAAAGCTGGAAAAGGAACTTGTTGAAAAATACCCAAGTGTATTTACGGATGGTCTAGGCTTATGCACTGTTGCTAAGGCTGAATTGCAGCTAAAAGCCGATGCACAGCCAATTTTTCTGCCATTCCGACGTGTCGCATTCTCGATGGAATCAGCCATTGAAAAGGAAATTGAACGTCTCGTTGATTTGACTGTTTTGAAACCAGTCACCTACAGCGAATGGGCGGCTCCGGTCGTTCCAGTCAAGAAGAAGGACGGTTCATTGCGACTTTGCGGTGATTTTTCTACCGGCTTGAATGATGCGTTGCAAGATTACCATCATCCTCTTCCCACAGCGGAAGAAATTTTCACCAAGCTGAACGGTGGACAAGTTTTCTCCCAGATTGACTTGAAGGATGCTTATTTACAAGTCGAGGTTGAGGCTTCTAGCCAAGAATACCTGACAATCAACACACACAAGGGACTTTATCAGTATCAACGACTGATATTCGGTGTGAAAACAGCCCCCGGTATTTTCCAGAAAATTGTGGATAATTTGATCGCAGGCTTGGACGGTACCGCTGCCTACCTGGATGATCTGTTGATCACCGGCCGGAACCAGGAGGAGCATGACGACAGGGTACGTCAGTTGTTTGAGCGAATCGAAAAGTTCGGATTGCGCGTCAAAATGGAAAAGTGCACGTTCGGCCAGGCTTCGGTAAAGTATCTTGGCTTCATTCTCGATGCCCAAGGCCGAAGACCCGATGGCGAACGCACGGCTGCGATAGCAAATATGCCACGACCTACCTGCCTCAAAGAAGTTGAAAGCTTTTTGGGCATGGTTTCGTTCTACCAGTCTTTTATTCCTCGTATGCGACAGTTGCGCGCCCCGCTTGACGAGTTGAAGAGAAAAGACGCAAAGTTTCTCTGGCGTGAGGACTGTGAACGAGCGTTCCAGTCGCTCAAGGAAATTGTAATTTCCGATTTGTTACTCTGTCACTATGACGCCAAGTTGCCGATCGTCGTCGCCGCTGATGCCAGTGAGCAAGGCCTTGGGGCAGTCATTACCCACCGATTCGCTGATGGAACTGAAAAAGCAATCGCACATGCTAGCAGAGCATTGACTGTGGCAGAAAAGAACTATAGCCAGATTGAAAAAGAAGGCTTAGCCCTCGTATTCGCAATTCGGCGCTTCCACAGATACATCTACGGAAGGCGTTTTGTATTACTGACGGATCATAAGCCTCTTTTACCGATATACGGGTCGAAAAAAGGAATCCCACAACACACCGCAAACCGTTTGCAAAGGTGGTGTTTGCAATTGAACAACTACGATTTTTCTATTGAATATCGTAACACGACCAAGTTTGGTCAAGCGGATGCCCTTTCCCGTCTGATTCCGCCAAAATCGGATCCTGAAGAAGATGTCGTGATTTCGCAGATAGAAATCGACATTTCAGCCGTTTTTGAGGATAAATTGAGCCAAATCCCAGTTTCACACAAGGAAATTGCTGAGCAAACTGAACAGGATTATTCACTCAGCAGCGTGATTGACTCTCTGAAAAGTGGTTCATTTCCAGACTGTTTGCCAGGCTCGTCGTTGTACGCCTACAAAAGTCTTGTCAATAACTTGTCAATTCACCGAGGCTGTTTGTTTCTGAAAGAGCGAGTTGTTGTGCCGAAAAGGCTGCAATCGCGAATCCTGAAAATGCTTCATGAAGGCCACCCGGGCCAAACGAGAATGAAATTGCTCGCAAAGCAATATGTGTACTGGATTGGCATGGATTCAGACATCGATCGCATCGTGAAAGAATGCGAAGGCTGTCAGAAAGCCCAAAAGATGCCTGTAAAAAGTGAATTGACTCCTGGCCTACCCCAAATCGTCCAATGGAGCGCGTGCATATTGATTATGCCGGCCCGATTGATCAAAAAATGTATTTGATCGTTGTCGACGCTTACTCAAGATGGCCTGAAATCTTTGAGTGTAAGGTGGCAACAAGCCGAGTGACGATTGCCCAGTTGAGAGATGTTTTCTCCAGGTTCGGAGATCCGGAAACGCTCGTTTCGGATAACGGAACTCAATTCACTTCCAAGGTGTTTGAAGATTTCTGTAAGGAACGTGGAATTACCCATATTCGCACGCCGCCGTTCCATCCCCAGTCGAACGGATTGGCCGAACGTTTCGTCGATACCTTCAAGCGCGCTTTGAGCAAAGCCGCTGGTTCGACTAACGCTGAAACTTTGCAAATTTTTCTGCGAACTTATCGGTCCACCCCTTGCCCATCTTCACCAGAACAGCTATCTCCGGCTGAAAGGTTTATCGGGAGAAAGCTCGTTACTCCCATTGCTCGCTTGCGTCTGCCTAAGAGCAACAGCAATACTTGTGCGAATCTCGTCTTTCCGAAGGGGGAGAAGATGAAGATGGTTGAACAGTACAACCGGAAGCACGGCGCAAAGAAGCGTTCCTACGAAATCGACCAGACTGTCTGGGTTCGAGATTATAAAATACCTAGCAAACCTGTCTGGGTAGAAGGACGTATTTCTAAATTATGTGGAAAGTCCATGTACGAGGTTGAAATTACCTCTGGAGTCGTTTGGCGTCGACATGCCAACCAGATACGCGCTCGATTCGTTCGAGACGTACTCGATGATATCCTGGAAGAGTTCGATCTTGCCAGCGATGATAAAGTCAATGTGCAGGACACTGCTCCACCTCTTGACAAGCCTCTCGAGAAGTCAGCCGCATCATCCGCCAAAACTCCTACATTGATTCCCATTGCACCTGTTCCGAATGTTCCCCATCCCACTGCTCACCGGCCGACAACACCAACCAAGTCGCCATCGAAGTCGCATCCACGATCACCGGCAAGATCACCAGCCGTGCCGCGACGACCTCAAGTTGAACCGCCCGAAATCGCTGCTCAATACCCGCAATTTGAACAACTCGATGACGTTGTTCAACAACCACAAGGACGCGACGACGAACCTGAAGTTCGTCAACAAGATCAAGCACAACCTGTGAAGAAGACAAAGAAGACTGATGCCCTTGGACCGATCCTTCACCACAAGCGCATCCGGAAGCCGCCGTCGCGATATCAAGATTGAAGTGCCGTCAACGTCGTCTCTGTCAAGCTCAACTTCATCATCAAGTCAAGCTCTTCATTCAAGGAGGAAGATGTTGCGGAGGCAAGAAAGAAAGTCTTTGATCCAATTACGCGATGCCTGTACGGCGCACCCCTTTGCACTACGCCCTGTGTGCGCCCTCCCCGTCCCCCGGCACAAACCCCATTTTTGTGCGTGTCTTTTTCATTCTCTTCCACTTCGCCCGTCTTGTCTGGCTGCTTGTATTATTTTAGGCTATTGCCGTTATCGTAAATAAACTTTGTTCTCTCTTCTTTCGTCCAAATCAATTCAGGTGTCAAACGACTCTCTCGCAAGGTATCCCCTTGGATTGAGCCAGCACTCAAGAACTCACGCACAGCCACACCTACAACACTAATAAATCTTTTTTTTTTATCATGAGACAATTCAGGGATGGGAATTTTGTGTAGTGAAGCGTTTCAAAATTTTGCTCTTTAAAGGTATATGTTTCTATTACTAAATCTGCAAATGTTGTTACGAACTCTAAATCCAGTTTAAAATAGCTTAGAAATAAGATAATTTGAGGACTTATTTTTTACAAAAAAATGTTGCATGAATAAAATGTGCTCAAGTCCAAAATTTTTCACGAGTCGGCACTTCTTTCTAGGCGAATCACGATCGTAACCAAGTCGAAACTCTGCTTTGAAGTTATCTATTATTTATAATTTTCGTTTGTGGAAATGTACAGAGTTTCGTTAACAAAAATGTTTCATGAATAAAATGTACTGAAGTCAAAATCTCTATTAGTCGGTACTTTGCTCTCGTCGAATCGATATTCTAACTTGAAACTACCTGCGTTTAAGGCAAAAGTATTAATATTTTTCCATGAAATAATGAATACCTGCTGCTTTTGGGTTTTCTGCTGTTGTTGCTGCTGTTTCCGCTTCAGCTCCTCGAGGTCTTTCGCGTGTTTCTTGGCCATTTTTTGGAAGTTTTTGTCCTTCTTCAGCTCTTCCACCCCGATCGGGTCCACCTATAAATCATCATAAAAATATCGATTTTTATGTGGAACAGATCTGCTTTAAAACGGGCTGAAAACGGACCAGGCGGGGAAATTCAAAAATTTGAAGGTGGAAATTTTGAAAAAAGAGCGAGTTTCGAAAAATGGGGTACTCAGCAGGCCTGTAAGGACATTAATCGTTTTGTATCCTTACACCGCAAGCTAACCTAAATCCACTCCAGCTAAAAGTTTATATCTTGAAGATTTAAATAGATTATTACCAATTCACCGATATTGCCAGGTAAATATGATAAATGGAAGGGTCCCTTGACGACATTGCTCAAATTTTTCCGAGTGGATTTTGAAAATCAGTTGAAACACTGAATATATCGAAACACAAAATCAATTGGCTTTCTCTTAAAAATCTTTGAAATCCGGGCTCCGCTAGCACAAATAAAGTTTCGTCAATTCTGGAGAGTATAAGTTTTCTCGCTTAGCACGAAGCAGTATCGATCGAAAAATCCAGAACTCACCCATAAAGCTTTTTAAAACATTTCAATTCTACCCCAATTTTTTATTGGTTTTAAGCTAATGGATTCGGTTAATCTTAGTCTAAGCTGATCCATCAAAGGACCCTCTTTAAATCGAGTTAAGGTATGAATTATGGAACCTATCTTATTTAACTAAAAACTGGTTCGGCGGGTTTCCTTTGGTTTCTCAAATCAAATCCGGCTCTAGAATTGGCCCAGAAATCGGGAATTCAAGGTGAAAATGGGTTAAAACATTCGAATTTCAAAAGGGGATGTATTGCCTTTAGCCGTTCGCAATGATACTCCTTCCGCTTTGTCGACATTGAGCCCGAGCGCTCGCGGCGCCACATACCCTCGCGCTGTATTTTTAGGGGACATTTTTTTGTAGGTAAAGGTTGGGATTTTAGCGTAATAATCGCTAAAAATTCGTCAAAGACTCTCTATCTGGCTCAAGAAGATAACTAATAAAAGCTGCAGTTCCATTTTTTTAATTTTTGTTGATTTGCAAGCTTTTCTCCGCTAAGTATCTCTGTTAGCCTGCCTTAACTGTTTAAAAGTTATATACTTCGGTCTTCCCCAAGGATCTCTGCTAGTCTACTCTCGTCAAAGAAAATAGTGGACAACGTGAGCTTTCGACAGATTAAATTTGAAAACGCCGGGTTAATATGCTCAAAACGATGAAACATCGTAAAAATCTGCGATTTCTCCACTTTAATCGCTAAGAAAATGTTATTTTCTACGTCCTGGCACAAGAAGATTAACTAAAAAATTTTAATTTTATTTATATTAAATCCGAAACATTGCAAGTTAATCATTTGGTTCAACTGAAGCTAATACGGTTAACCATCACCCTTCATGGTCCAGATTAGCCTTTTTTGGCTAGACTTTACTTTACCCCAGCCGGAAGTTCCGAAAAATTTTTTGACATTTTTGCGATTTTGTCGGGATTTTGGCTGCGTCATTCGATAGAGAATCAAAAATATACCATGACATTTAATTACAGCCCAACATCTGGTAATATAAAAAGTTATAGCGAAATACTTTTGGAAAATTTCGGCTGGGGAGGGAGGGGGTAAAGTAGTCTTCTTGTCTTACAGAATTATTGTGAAGCCAGCATTTTCCTTTTTAACTTTAGCGTTAATAAACCATTTTTATCTTTTTAAATTTTACCTTGAATCGATCGGGCACGTCATTTGCCGTCCGCGCCGAGTTCGTCGGCGTCTGACCGTCTTGTTGGGTGCTGCGCGTCGAGGTTTGGGGTTGGTTTCTGAAAAAGGTTTTGAATAAAGCCCAATAAAAATGTAATTTATAATTTAACATTTTGAATTGTTTTTAGGCGAATAAAAAAATACATAGTACTGCATTGCAGAAAAAATGTTTCGACTTTAGACTAGATTTTTCCAAAAAATGTCTTTTTTATTGATTCATTGATCTCTCAATATTATCATTTCATTTAGGTTTTGTGTTATCCTTTTTTTGTGATTAATTATATTTATGTATTAAACTCACTCATTGAGGAGATTTGCCGCCGAGCCGTTCGTCTTTTGGAGCGTCTTGTTCTTCGCTGCGCCGGCGCCCGCTTTCACTGGCATCTGAAAAAACATTTATTTTATATTATCCTTAAAAATAAGTGTTTTAGCTACAAATGCGTTCTTGATTTAATTGAATTTTCCATAGGTAAACGTACCACAAAAAAATGTACATGAAGTAACATTAAGCGAAAGCCATAGAAAAGAGATGTTTCATCTATTTAAATGCCTTCCTGTACACCGTTTTCGATTAATTGCACGTTTATTCGAGCGTTACTGACGCATGTTGTCCTTATTTTTACTTTACGTAATATACCACGTTGATAACACCTAATTTTCACCGAAAGCAGATAATTTTTAGACGCTAATATATGACTTTAAGTAATTGAAAAATAATCAAAATAATTTTTATATAGTTTTAACAAGAAAAAGACAAAACAAAAACGCTGATATGACCTCAAGCCATTTAAAACGGCTTTAAAATTGTTTAAAATGGCTTTAAAAACCTTACCACTTCGACGATATCGCTATCCTCGACACCCATATGATGGAGGGCTTCTTGCCGTTTCTGCTGCTGCGACAAATAGGCTCGAGGGTCGGCGAGGGCATCGACAAGGCCTGAAATGGTAATTAAATTTATTTTGGTATTTAAATTATGAAATGTAGCTTTAGGGGATTTGATAACCCGAAAGAGCTGCTTTTTAGGTCTCAGCTAAAGCTTTAAAAATTATATGATTTCCTGATCCTATGGCTAGAAAAAATGCGCCTTGTTCGATTTAACCATTCCTTCTTTAGAGAAATAAATCTGAATTCTGCACTATGAGTTTATTGAATATTCTATTTAGAAATTTCTCGAATCAGGCTTCCAGTCAATGCCATAGATATCTAAATTTTTTCTCTTTCTTTTTCTAAATCTAAAAATCTAAATTCTGAATTTGTACTCGATACTTTTCAAAAGTTAAAAGAGAAAGGAATGGCGATAACGATACGATTTCGACAGTAGCTTGCAGGCAATATTTGTAGAGAAATGATTAAACAGGCCAGCATTATTTGATTATTGTTTTGCAACGAAACATAAATTTTTTGAATAAAATTTTTATGAGGTTTTTATCTATTTTCTAGCTGTAATTATTAAAATTATTTGGAGTTGCGATATGCTTGATTTTTATTAAACAAAATTATTGTATCAGGCTATGCGAAGCACAAAAAAAACCACGAAACTAATTAAATTCATTATTCGTCGGAAAAGGCTGCAATAATTGTCTCGCCGTACTCGAACGATTTTTGAAAAGAAAAGAAACATTATTTTTCGTCCCTTTTGATGCTTTTAAAGGATTGGATTTTTCGCTTGAAAAATTTAAAAGCAACTATTTAGTATTGCAAATGACTATTTCAAGATACCAAATCCAATTCAATTTGCAATTTGCCTCCATAACAACTTACTGGACAGCTCGTCGGGGACGTACGTCTTCAGCACGAGGTGGACGAACAGCGTCGGCAAGCACATCGGCTGGTTCGTCTCCGTCCTCAGGGAGATGTGCCTGAAAACGTGAATAAATAGCTAAAAAAGAATCTACGAAAATTATTAGCAGTGGGGAACTACCTCGAATTAACCGTAGAATTCAAAACTTGGTTTTGTGAATTAAAGAAACTTTTCTTTTCCATTTGAAAATTCCGGTGTTATCGCGGACTTCTAAAGTCGCAACCAGGGTTGGTCACACTGGACCCCAATCGGATCCGGTCCGGTCCGGGGGTCGGTCCGGTCCGGTCCGGTCCGAAATTTCCATCCGGACCGGACCTGTCCGGTCCGTGGCGGACCGAGGGGTTTTGATTTGCTAGGAGAAACGGAAATGTAACATGCAAATTCGGATTGCAAAAGAGTGGCGTACGAAAAAAATGACGCAATGTGGAATTCGCTTAATCAAAATGTATAAAATTATTCATTTCCCTTTAATTTTTGGCTATATAAGCGACGGATCGTAGCCTAGATGTGGAAAAATATGTCAAATTCTTGGAGAGTAGTATTTTGCATACAAAATTTTCCATATCTAGCTCCTGAATCATGTCCTCTGGGTTCAGACCGGACCGGACCGGTCCGGTCCGGTCCGGTCCGGTCCGGTCCGAAATTCTCGGATCCACTCGGACCGATCCGGACCGGACCGGACCGCGGACCGTCCGCGGACCGGATCCTTTGTGACCAACCCTGGTCGCAACTACTTTTCAAAAAATTAAATTCAAACATCTTTTGTAATTGTCATATTTCAATCCCTAAATAATCCATTAGATGAATCAGAAGCTACAAACCTTGTCTATTTCATAAACTTGCGAATTAGGTATGCTCGGTTATTTTCGGTCAATTTTAATTCAATGGCATGTCGCTATCATAAATGGAAAAAAAATATGTGTTACAAGATCCTTTAGGTTAAAATGTTATCGCTGACACTCAGTGTACAGAAGCTTTTTATCGTCAGAATCCGAAACCAGAATCGGTCTGTCTAGTACCATAAAAGCAAGCATTTTAATAGTATTTTAATAAAAAGTAACTAAATTTCACTGGAAAAACTCTCTAAAACTTGCGAAATTTGAAATTTTGGTGAAAATCGTCCATGGTTGGCCAACAAGTCAATATTTTTGTTTGTTTTAATCAGATTTGTAGTTTTTAATTTCCGATCTAATTATTCGATTTATTATTTCTTTCTCGGCATGCTTTTGACGTGAAACATCATTTTCACAATTTTCTGTCTTTTTCTATGTTGATTCCGTTCCTTACCTGTATCCAGCCTGCAATCCGTCAAGTGGCAGAATCCGCTGCCCAAGCTGTTTCCCGTTTTCATCGTAGACGGCAAAGCGGAGCACGGCCAGCTCGGGGAGCACCACCTAAAGGGGCGTAAGATTATGAAATTATTATGTTTTACGGTAAAGTCTTGGCAGTTGAGCTAAAACTTGATTAATTATTCGTTCAATGTGTGGTCTGCCAAACGGATTTGTCAGTTTAAAATTTGCTGAAATAAAGGTTTCCGTTTCTGTTTCTGTTTAAAATGCCGATACTGAGGGCCGTATTAATTTAATGAGTTTCAAGCCATGTGCCTTTGCTGTTCCCAGATTTGTTGCCCGTTACTGGATTAATGGAATTATTCGACGGGCATGATTAAAGGCGTTGAGAAGTAAAAAATTGTGCCTTCGGGAAACCGTATCTATCGGTGCAAAAATCACTGGAATGTTTAAAAGTAGCGACACTCTGATTTCGTGGCGAAACACGTTAAGGATAGTAGAAAAACGGACGAGAATACGCCGAATTTTGGGCCCACGTGGGTTATTTGTCGTAATGCTTTGTAAAAGGCTCCATTCATTGACCTTGGCGATTCCCGGGTCAATTTTGAAAATTCGATATTTGTTTAAATTAATTTAATCATTTAAAGTCTATGACTCAACTAAAAAATGCCATGGGTTATGTCCGGTTTTTCATGATGCCAAAACGCATCCTATTTGGACAAATCCGCCCTGGAATTTTGTCATGGAATTTTTAGCCGGAAGATGGTTTTTTATAATTATCAATACGTCCGATGAAACCGGCTAACTATTTTGTGAAACATCTTTCCGTCGAATCGATTTTTTAAACTCGATGTTTCGGAAAATCTCGTACTCTGTCCTGATTGTCATGGCATATTCTTTGCTTCTTACCAAATTCCAAAGATTATTTGGAAGTGGGTAACACGAAAATTTAAGCTATGAAAATTGATTTCTTTTTAAAAACGAAGGCTCTAGATGCAACCGCGCTAATGAAAGAGTTATTGCCATTATTACGGATATCCTACTATATATAAAAAAATAGTGTCTGTGTGTGTGTGCATTTGCATGCAACTATGTTCCAGTCGTATCTCAATAAGGGAAGAAGTTAAGGGGGTGTATGATACGTCATTAGGTGCGTAATGGTCATGACACGATTGCACACCTATCAGATTTTCGAAAATTAGCTATTTTCGATATTAAAAATAAGTTTTTGTGAAAATCACGCTCGACCTCTTTGTTAGGAATCAATTTGCATACGCCGGAAGTGGAGAGAGCCTAGATAAATGCGGGAGGGCAGGTGATTTTCATTTTTTTTGTTTCGGGCAGGCGGGTGTGGTGACGCAAAGTGGGGCCATCATGGGGCCTAGACGGGGCCAGGGTTGAAAAGTCGCGAAGCGGCTTTTCAACCCTGGTCGATATCTAAAAAGAAAACTTAAAGTTTAAATTTGAGCGAAATCTAGCCGAACGCAATTAAATGAAAATCCCAATGAGCCATTAAATACCGACTCTAGGTTTTTGGCTTCGTAATTTGTTTTGAAAGCAAGAATTGAACGCGTGCGATTAATTACGAACAAATTGATGTAACTAAAAATTTTTGTGAAACATTGTTCCGCCCGGGACTTTTTATTTCAGTTTCATCTTTGTTCCGGTGTTTCCGGAAAATTGCCTAACTCTCCCGATTTTCATGCTCCGCCAATCTTCGACAAACATCATTTCAAAAAATCACGGTAGCTCGAAAATAATTGGAAATGGGAATGTGAAAATTTAAGGTATAAAAATCGATACCACTCTAAAAACGAAGGTCTAAGTATGAAGGAACTAGTGAAGCAATATAATAAAAATGAATTATTAAGAAAAACGATAATTTAGAGCATACATCTTAAAGAAATAAGGGCCTCGTTCCGAATGCAATGAATGAAAAATTCGCCAAGCCATCAGTTTCTATTAAATTCTAAATCTAAGGCCTGACTCCGAACTAATGCGAAACATTTTTTTGCCAATATCGCTTTTTTCATTTGTAGGCCAAATAGGCGAAATTTGATTTTCATTTTGCTTCGCTTCTTGATTTTTATATTTTTCAATTTTTGTCAATTTTCAATTTTTTTTTTGTTTTTCAAAAAAATCTCGTAAGAAAATGATCAACAAAAAATAATCAGCAAAATCCCGAAAAATAATTAGAAATGGGAATGGCAAAAATTTCTGCTGGATAAATCGATACCTTTCTAAAAACGAAGGGTTCCTCGTTGTAGACGGGGTTGAGGCCGTTGGCAGGTATGATTTTTGTGCGGTGCTCTTTCCGGATGGTATCTGTCGGCAGTCCGTACATTTCCACCTCCACGTAGGTGCCCACTTTTCGCTCGCATACCCATTGTCCGGAGATTACCTAGAAAAAGGGTCATCAAATTCAAATGCTTCAAAAAAATGGCATTCGCAAGGTTCGATAATCATGTAAGTCCAAAATTAAGCATGAAATTTAAATGCACCTTTAGCCTAATTTTCCCTGTCACCGACGGCCAAGTTCTGCGCGGCGTGTAAGGCAGAAAAATCAGTGTTTCAAGACCGCATCGAAACCAGTGGAATTGAGTTAATTTAATGGACGCTAGAAAAGTTGCGGAAATAATTACAACGATATACGCGATTTCGGCTATGCATTTTGTTCTATTTCTTTACTGTTTTTAAATCAAAGGTTGCTAGCAAAAAGACTGTTAGTATCTTTAAACATATCGATTTTCAAAGGAGCTTGGCGAGCCAGTGAAGGGTTTTTTGTTTTTATTACGAGTTAAATCTACTGAACTTCGAGGTTTTTAAAAATAAAATACAAAAATGGGATTTCATCCCATTTAAGATTTACGGCGCTGAGAAAATTTTCTTCAAGCGATTATTAATGAAACAAGCAGAGTAACTAATTTTTAAAAACTGGTAAAGAAAGAAAAAGAAAAAAAATGTATCGGTACTTTAGCTATGTATCTTTAGCCACAATTTTTCCTACAATTTTTTTTGGTGCTGTACCAGCCTATATTTTTGTCAATTTCCAAAAAACTTACCCGAACACTGCAATGCGCGGCAATCACCCCGTCCACTGGACTCTCGGAGAACGGGTCGAACGACCGGTCGGGTCGTCGCATGAAGTCGGGCTGGAAAATGGATTTAATTAACTCAAGGTTAATATAATTTCGATATTGCAAATTATTAGCTTTGTCAGCAAAATTTCCAAAATTTTGAAAACCTTTTTTTAACAAGCATACTTATGGGTGGCTCAATTCGTTTTTATTATGGCCCTCCGCTTTTTACGCAAATTAAATGCAGCAGCATCAACGTTTTTTATAGCTTCTAGGATTATTCTTTATTGCGAAAAATATACAAGAATTTTTAAAAATGATATGTTTCGCTTAGATGCACTATCGCGTGACTCTTTTCAGCTTGATTAATTACTCGATATCCATCTTCCGGAATCTTGGCGGTTTTCCTCGCGCGCCCGTCATCGATTTAACGCGAATTTAAGGGCGTAATCGGCTAAGCCGAGAAGCCAGTTTAAAAAGGGGTGCGCGTTATGCTTCACGGGCGCGTGGAACTTTCAAGAATTTTCGAACCAATAAAGTTTGAATTAAAAAATTTTTTATTTGTTTATTTCTAGACTTTGTTGTCCCATAAGTGCTTTATTTATACCTGTTTGATACCGTTATATTGCATAAAAAGGTATCGGCCGGTTCGTACGAAAATATCAAGATTTCGAAAAATGTTTCGCTAACTGTTGGAAACATTGTATATTTTTGTGGGGGTAATCAAACCACCAGTGATGGAAGTCGTTTCTAATTTCAGGGTACCCAGCTATTGGCCTTTCTCAATTTTCGTTGCCAAATTGACTGTAGATTTTTGTCAATGGAACGCACCGGAATCAAGGCCATCAAGAATTTAACGCTAATTTAAGGGCGTAATTGGATAAAGATTTTATTTGCTGCCGGAGCGGCAAAATCCTTGGAATCCCAAGGCCGAGAAAAACTATAGGTATACTTTTTTATGCCTTACACGGTACTAGAGCTTACCGCGTGGTACCTACTAATATCTCGAAATTCCAATAAAAAAGTTTCGTTGGTTCCTGAGGCCGTCGAGTATTTTTGAGGAGGCAATGATATGCCGTGAGTCAAGCTAACCCCACTGAAAACCGGAGATGAAAGCTATATTTTGAAGTGCTTTTGCCCCTGTAGAACAAAATAAGACTTTCAAAACAATACGCGAATGGGAGAAAGATCACAACTCAAGAACGGCAATTGTTTTGAAACTTTTAATTTTGGCACAAGCGCCGTTCAATTTCCTTTCATCTAATCCTGCTATTCCCACAAAAAAAAAGAGTTTCACCGATTTTTATTGATAAAAACGAAACAGCTCATGTAATTGCTGATCTTTCATTATCTCCATTACTGAAAGATTGATGAAAGATATTTTTAGACTAGCTTTTATAAATTTTCTATTCCGTGCAAAATGATGAAAGATCGATTGCGCTAAGCCAAGGTTTTATTTTTGTTAAATCAGCGTGAATCTAGTGAACTATATTCAAGGGCTTAATCAGTGAAACTGAGAAATCCAACGCTTCTCGAACCCTTGAAAACAGGAGTGACGTGGTAATATACCAGACAGTGATCTTATTAGCTGTGTACACTGATTTGATTTAAATATAATTTTAAAGCGACTTCACAATCTATTATTGTTAACATACCTTGAGCAAATATCCGCTGTTGCCGTTGTATTCAAATTTTCCCTGGTTCAGCTGCATGTAGACGTCGGGCGTCTGGAAGTTCAGCGACACCATCTGGCAACCGGCGTTCCAGAAAATCTGAAAACAAAAATGTGATCGTAAAATAGTGGTTGACTTTTCGATAATTAGCTATGGGCTTTTTAAGGGGAGCGTGACACCTAGGAGGTTTCGGGGTTTTTTTTGGCTGGGTTTATCTTTTTGCTCCAAAGAAGGCATGATTAATTCCACGAATCCCTGGCGCATCAGCTTTATATTTGAAACATTTTTTGGTTATTTAATTATCGTAAAAAAATCTATTTTCGTTGTATCGTTGTAATGGCCATGAAAGTTTTAAAAAGGAGCGGGACACCTGGCGTGTTGTAGGTTTTTATTGGGTTCACTTTTTCTTGTTATCATGCTTTGCATATACGGCAGAAAAAGTGTCGGTCGGCTTTAACCATCCACCACTTTTATTGGCTGTTTGGTCAGGAGATTCAAGTCATTAATTCTTCTGCCGAAAATACTTCATATTAGAAAAAACACAATATTTCTTTTGTCACCTTTTTTTAAGTGATTTGTGAACGATGAGGATGGATGAATTACCTGGGACATGATCGGTTGATTAATGGTTATTTTCGAAACATACATTTTCAACTAACGCGTTCATTCACCTGGTCATTACGTTACCTACCAGAAAATGTCACAACGCAATACAAATTATATATTTTAATTAAGTTAATTGAATGCGAATTAAATCGTAAAACAAATAAGTTCGCTAGATCTTATGGCTTAATTTCAAAAGCATATCCCCGTCAAGACATTTTACTCGGCAAGGCATAATTTCAAAGCATATTTTTCAAACTCACTGATGGAAAAAATTGAAGAAAGTGCGTAAATATAATCAATGCCAGAAAAAATCTTTTACAAAAGAAATGATTATTTTTCAAACATTAAGTTCCATACTTTTTAATAATTCGGGTGTGATTTGGGCTCCACGAATAAAAAATAAAACTCTCCGTGGCAAGACCGATTTTCAAAACCTATTTTTTTTAAGACTCACTTGAGGCAAAAAGTTGGAGGAATCGACCCGGGCTCCCTTTGGGTAGATTCTGCTCAGCTGGCGCTTGTTGTAGTTGACGAACTCGGGGGCAAACGATTTCAGATAGCCGAGACCCGTCGACTCCGAGAAGGACGACATGTGGAAGTGGAGGTTGTTTTCTAAACAATGTTATTTAATAAAAGTATTAAAATTTAGCGAATTAATGCCTGTATTGATGGAGTTCGTTAAGTTTATCCCAAGAATATAATCCTGATAAAAATGCATTTGAAGAGCTGACGAAAAAATGTGTTTTTCTGATTTGTGTTCCCCGGAAAATTTGTTTTCTAATGGTTGGATTAACAATTGGAAACAGGACGTCGTTTTTGAAATCGATGAAAGCTTTATCGAATATTATTGATATTTTAATCTGATTGTAAATTTGGCTTGTTTATAATTCTTACTCAACATTTTATCGTTAAAAATTTTAGCGAACATTCCCAATTTTGAAGAAGAAAACTGTTCTATAAATCCGTTTTAAATGGTTAGCGATTAAACAATAAAGACTAAATAATTCTGGTGCTCAAGCCAGTTATAATTCCTATACGGTTGCTGGATGCGAGATTAACTGAATTTATAAATCAGATGTCCACGAAGTTTTTTTGAAACATTTGTTCAGATTTCTGGACGCATTCCAAGGTAAAACTGGAATACTTTAATTTGTATATCATAAATTTGTATATTGGATAAATTATGTATATTAATTAGTAGTAGCAACATCCTACTATATATAAAAAAATAGTGTCTGTGTGTGTGTGTGTGTTTGTGTGTGTGTGCCACTTTGCATCCACTTCCGTCTGTCTGTCCGGAGGATATCTCGATAGTGGATGAAGTTTAAGGTATGTATGATGCGTCATTAGGTGCGTAATGGCCTGGAGATGACTGCACGCATATCAGATTTAACAAAATCACCTATTTTCGACATTAAATTTAAGTTTTTGTAAAAACCTCTTTGTTAGGAATAATTAGCGTAGACCGGAAGTGGGGATTCGACTATATAAAGGGGCTCAACAGGTAGTTTTTCATTTTTTGTCAACTGAATGCAGGAAAATTATGCAAAGTGAAGGATAAAAAGGGGTCTGACGGGGCCAGGGTTGAAAAGTCGCGAAGCGGCTTTTCAACCCTGGTAAAATTATAAAAATTAAACTCACGCTCGGCGACGTCGAAACCGGAGAATTTGACGGGATGCGTGTAGTTGACGAGTGAGGAGAGAAGCGGATGGATATTCGTTGTTGCACCTGGGAAAGCAAGGAATATTTAGGAATAATATTTATTTCTTACAATTAGAACCGAACCTTATTATTATTTATCGATCCCAGATATGAAATTGTTAGGCGCAAGTACTTGAACCCATTAAAGGGGGTTAAATTCTGAATTTTAGAATTTGATACGAAACACTTTTTTTTCTTCAATGTGGTGCTAAGCATATTCAAAACCAGGACTAACAGCACCGGGGACTAACAGCGAAAAATTGATAAGGAATTTTATTGAAAGTTTTTATGAGAAATTAAATTATGTTTTCGCGTGTTTCTTAGTAGTTCCGAATCCTAACATCTGAATCTCTAATCCATTTTTCGGCAGCTACAAGATGTCTTGAAACATTGATTTTACGCGACAAAATTCGAATTTAGATATTTTTAATTATGAAACCTTATATATTGACTTACCCGTGTAAATATATTTATTTTTATTATTTCTATTCCATTTAAGATTATATCATGGCACAGGTCCTCTCGCTAACCAACCCCTCATTTTTCAGAAAATACTAGATTTTTTTGAAACATTGATTTGGCAAAGCAAAAAAAAATTTTCCGATCACATCAAACAAATTTAGGCATTGTTTTCTATTTAAAGTAAGAATTATATTTCATTGCTTTCACTCACCCGTGTAATATTCTCCCGTATAGTGGTACTCGGCAAATATCCGCTCTTCCTCTTCCTTCGTCAACACCTGCTGAAAAAGATTGAAATTAGAGAAATTTTCGGGCATTTTGCCTCGAAACCACTAGCCTAAGCATTTTTACGCCGAACGGATTGACTGGCCGGTAGTTTAATATAATAAATTTTTGTAGAAATTACAAAAATCCCATTTTAGATTATTATTTTGCTACCGTAACCAGACAACCCGCTTCCGCGCAAAAACCCAGGAGCAAACCCAAAATATCGTTATTAGCAGCCTGCACGATGGGAATACGATCATTATGAAGTTGATATTTGGCAAATTTTGAATGTTAAAGCCACTTTAAAAAATGATGTTTACTAAATTTTAGAAAATCATTCTTAAAATGACCATGTTTCAGGTAAAAATAACCCAAATCTGAAAAATTTCTGAATATTCTTGCAAGAAAATATCCGCCGCGTCTCTGCTTCAAAATATCAAGAACAAGATTTTTATTAAATTCGGTAAATTAGGTAGAAATGTAGATTTTGCGACTAGCTGGGACCAGGCTTGCTATGAAGTAAAAATCGCATTAAAATGATGGCAAAAAAGTTTCATAAAAATTGCTAGTTACGCGGAAAACTTTGTATTCAATTCAGCGATAGGTCTGATGGAATCTCTACCAATTATATCATGAGGTTCTAGCGTGCTTTTCTGCAACTATAAAATTTACGCTCCTTAGTTATATCGCAAAAATCCAAAAAAATGTTTCCTAAAAATCGCTAGCTAGGCCGGAAAAAGTATTTTCAATGTGGCTTAAGCTGATGGATGAACGCATGCACGTTAGATAAACTCGATAAATTGTGGTTCAACGATATTTCTTCATATATATGAAATGTTGGTGATGTTTACTTATAATCCGTTAAAGGCAATCATGGATTTCCAAGATTACAGACCTGCGATTAAGAAAAGCGATAAAAATCATGACGGAAGAACCGAAAATCATGTTTCATAAAAAAATGCTAGTTCAGCTGCAAAAATATAATTCAATTCCAACTCCGTTGATCCGGAAACGCATACCAGCTACATAAATTCTGTAAATTATGTGATATCGTACCTTTTTATGGCTATAGAATTGAAACTTATTTTCTTATAGTAAAACTTCAGATTTTGCCAAATACCGCAACTTCAAAATGACCGTAACACCCTCCGGCGAGCAATTCCTGATTCCAGAAACGGCCAGCTAACGGTTGTGTGGTGGGGTGGAGGGGGGGTACGGTACTGTACGATACTGTACGGTCGTTTGCGGTACTGTACGGTACTGTACGCTACCGTAATTTACGGTACCGTATAGGTATCGTCTCGAAAGATAGGGGGGAGGGTGCCCGGAGAGGGGGAGAGAAAAACAGAAGAGTGGGGTGGGCGCACCTTTTTTTTAATAATTTTTGCGACAATCAAATTTGATAGAAGACGAGGATTACAAGAGGATTAATACGTCTCGAAGGATTTTGCAAGTGATAGAATTCTACGAACCACGGAAATTTTTTTAAAAGATGTGAATTTTCGAACAGTGTTTCTTGATTTTCAGGGATCTAGAAATTTACTTTCTATTCAATCGACCCAGCAGAGTATTGAAAGTTAAGTGAAAATCAATTGATCAATTGTTTTTTCTCAAAATTTAACGCCATTTCTAGTAGTTTTTTTGGTCGGTCGATATTTTTGTATTTTTTTTCATGAACATTGGTATTTTTTTACGGTGAGGGGTAATAAAAAAGCTCAGAGCTTCCTCGATTTAGGTTTGAAAAATTCGATGCGCAGTAAGTCGTTGGTTAAAAAAGTAAGGAGATACAATAGCATGACTGACCAATTGACTGTTTAAAAATATTTTTAATCTTTGGAATCCATGAAACCCGTTTTTTTGTGACAATCATTGATCGAAGTTTGGTAAGAGTCTAGAAAACCAACCCCAGCCGGCACCAACTTTTGTATCTCGGCCCCCCTTTTTGCTAGCGAGCTCTAAAGTATACCAAAATGTTCGCCGTAGGCCGGCCTTCTGCTGCATCAAGCTTGCGCCGCGGCTTTGAAACGAAGCCAGCAGCCCAAGCTTGCGCCGCAGGCTTTGAAACGAAGCTAGCCGCTCAAGCTTGCGCCGCAGGCTTTGAAACGAAGCTAGCCGCTCAAGCTTGCGCCGCAGGCTTTGAAACGAAGCTAGCAGCTCAAGCTTGCGCCGCAGGCTTTGAAACGAAGCTAGACGCTCAAGCTTGCGCCGCAGGCCGAAAAAGGAGGACGAAACAATTTTTTCACAACGATTGATTATTGGTACAAAAAGAGGTAGTGGGAGATCATCTTTTTGTATTGTAAGTGGGATTCAAAAGGCCGACCAATTCATAGTGCCTAGACGGGGTCCAGCGGGGGAGAGTCGCGAAGCGGCTCCTCCCCCGCTGGTGTAAGGTATTATTTAGCTGCGTTTTATTCAGCCTTCGATATAAGATTTGATGTTCGCAGTCTTCGCATAAAAATCAGGATTATGCTCAACACTTTGGGCTCCGCAAAGACTTTTATGGCTCAATTGGTCGTCGGAAACCTTTACTACTGCAACATTAACGAATTTTTGATTTTTAGAATTCTATAAAACACTTTTTTTTGGAAAACAGAATGGAATTTTGTATATTGTTAGGTACCGTTAGGTATAATCTAGTCGCGATTAGTTCTTTGTTTCATGTCCCCTACTAATCCCGTGATGTATCAAATTTGATTGTCGCATTTGACGGCATAAAATCAGGGGGATACTCAACACTTTGTGCTCCACAAAAACTGGTGCTCCACTGTGGGCTGAACTCAAGGATGGATGAAATTAAATCAGGAATTAAATTAGATTATAGAAGCTGGGGCTCTAACTATGCGGTACGGTAGAAAATAACCAAAGGATAGTGGACCCCATCGGTTACGTTGGGCGAACCCAAAAAAAGCGGATGTATTTTGGAGTGGTTACAGTATGAACCGAGGAGAGAAGCTGAGGGAAAGAGACGGTAGAATTTAAGAAAATATAGCTTAGAAAATAGAGAAAAAAAAGAGGAAAATACGTAGTTTTTGTTGACGAGGACGAGGACCAGGGACATTTAAAAGTGACAAGGGGAATGTTTCGGAAAATTCAAATTCTCGGATTTACTCAGATTTTTATGGTTCTTTCACGATATCGGGGGGGTCTTAAGTATTCAATTTTGTTTTAATTTAAGTGTTTCTACACTATTTGTTAGAAATACTTCGGCATTTTTATTAATAACAAATACCGCTGCACAACTTTTGTATTAAAAAAATACGAAAAGCCTAGCGTTTTCACTCAAAATTTCAGATTTTTCTGAATGTTTCAAAACTTTTCAAGATAGTTCCCCCCACGAGATATAGTTCGATTTTACCAGAGGATTATTTAAATTATTATGAATCAGAGTTCATAGTGGCGTCTTACGGCAAAAACTTGATTACTTTTACCGCTACAATTCTTGTTTACAGAACCTAATGAAACACGCACCCTAACTTATGAAAAATTTGGTTTGTAAATAATTAAATTCTACAGTGCGCCAATTTTTGAACATTCAGAATACTAACAAATCGTCCCGGGATGAATTTATGAAAAGAGCGCTTTAAGGTACCTTAACCGGCGAAAAACACGACTGAAAAAGCACAAAAAAATCGCTAGATTAGCGAAAAACAAAGCATTTGAGCTTTCTTCTTATCTTTGGCAATGCTCTAGCATGAAAAAAAGTTCTTGTTTTCAAGATATCAAACAAAAGCTCGACATTAAGGCTTCGCCAACGCTGCTTCAAAATAGTTTAAGTTTACATATTATATTCACTTAATTTTTGGTCATTGTATCAGTGAATAAGAAGGAGGGATTATTATGGCTAAGATGGGTTCAGATACCCTAAACTGCGAAACATACGAATGAAATTTCGAAGCTTCAAATGTTCCGAAACATTCCGGTCCTTAGATTAACCCAAAATTGCAATTACTGTAGGGGCGGGGCAACAGAAATGCAAGAAATTCCCATATATACGGTTCTGCTTTTAAAATTGGCCTAGACAAGAGGGACCCGGCCACACCACCACGTAACGATCAGCTGGGGAAGTTTTTGAATCTTCTTTTTCCTGTCAAAGTAGCGATCTTGGAGTGCAACCAAAATAATGAAAATCACCCCAAGCCCAGGTTTTTTAAATGGCGGGGAGATGCAAAAATAAGCATGGAATTGTAGAAAATATTTTTTAGTATATATTTATGTTTCAAATCAATTTTCGTCAATTCGATTTTTTTAGAAAAATTGTGTTGCAAAAATTCTTATAAAATAGGAATTCCGACTCAGCGGCATTTGATGATCCCAAAACCGATTCCTTAAGAAAATGTGAACGTGGTAAATATTTAAAGTCAGTATATAGTTCCATTATTCAAATCGAACCAAAAAATAAATAAAACATAAATAAAAGTTATCTACAAAAATTCCCTTCCAATCCCAGAGCCCAAATTTGCATCTCCCGCTAAAAATGCGACCAAAATCAGATGCCGTAAAAATTGAAAGTGAGCGAAAAAATCGGATTCGCGACAAGCTGAAAAATTTTTCGAATTTGCACGGTGAAATGACAAGGGAAAACGGGCGGCATTCCCCGGAATCTTTAGAAAAAAGACGGGACGAGACGAAAACAGGACATTCTTGGAGAAATGGACAAAAAGGGAGCATGGACGAGAGTTTGGGTAGAGAAAGAGAAGGCTTAGGTTCAGCTTAGGCTTAGCTTAGGCTTAGCTTATGCTTAGCTTAGGCTTTGGTTTGAAGGAAATATGGAAAGAGTAGAGTTTTACGGAATTGACATGGATTTAGTATAGGCGCTTTTGGGGGCAATTTGCATGCAATTACAGGGTGGCTAGAAAGTATTTGCCGCGCTTTCGCGCTAGTTTTATTCTGCAAAAATTCCAACGACAGGTGCATTAACGGCTTGCATTCGGAAGAGAATTTTTTGCTCTATCGATTGATATATAAAAACAAGCAAATGCTTGCTCGTATAATTTTAATTAGACTGAAATACATA